TAAAGTTACACGTTATCGAAAGTAAGTTACACCATGTGCAAAATGCACATAACTGCCAGCTTGTCCTAACTTTTACCCTTGTCTAATCACAAAGTATGACCCATATGAAATAAGGAAAAAAGAAATATAAGAGAGGATTGTTCACAAAATCTAAATTTTACCATGGAAGACAAGGATTAGAAGTATTGTCATATTTTCCCTAGGGGATGAATTTGTTTTGCTGGAGTTTCAAGTAGCAGGAATTATGCTTAATATATTTTAATCAGGCAATTTACAAATGCAAATCGTAGAGATTTTGTCATAAAAGGAAGAATTTCATTTTGATTATATATTGATAACGTGAATTGGCTTGTTAAAACAATAGAAAAAATTATTGAATTAGCTGAAATGAAAACCAAGTCATGGTTTTTCCGCCGAGTTCATACTAGATCAAAGATAAAAATGTAAAGGGAAAATATGAACAACATTAATATTCATATACTTACTATATGATTTCGTTTTTATTTTTTTTTCAATAATCAAATAGTAACACAAGATAATGAATTAAATCTTGGTGAGTTTATTTTGTATTATGTAGAACTGATGGTCAGACTCATAATTATCCACAACAGTCAAATTAAATTAATATATACTATGACGAAAAAAATGTGAGTGTTGTTCAAAAATAATTAATTTTTTTTAAAGGAAGTTATTGCATTCAAAATAATGGACAGAAAAAAGAGTTGAATACTTTGAACAAAAATTGTAAACGGAATCTTTTGATATGACATAAAGTGAAAAAAATTATATTCCTGCCAAAAAAAATAACTCTAACTTTATATAAATTCTGATTAGGTATTCCTATTCATAGTCTTCATTATCTTTCTATTTTGCGAAATCGATTGTCAAACAATAAAACCATAATTTGATTTTCTCATTTCTGTATTGATCTCTGGTGGAAATATATATTTGGATTTTTCCTGTACAATCAGCTCCTCGTAAATTTCTGAGGTTGTGAGCTGATATAGTGGCTGTTCACAAATTGAATTTCTTTTTTATTTTTCTTCTCAATTTTGGCTTGTTCTAATTTGTAGAGGCTGTCGCTGCAAACACTACTAAGCAACATGGTTACATATCATTAATCGTGGAATCTGTGACTATATCTAACTTCATTTGTTCATTTAAGTTTGGGTATAAAAAGGTTCGAGTGAATTCGACTCCAGTTACCACTCACCATTCACCAAAACAACAGGTCAAGATATCATAGAGTCGAATTAAAATTACAGGTCATGTACAGTTCAACCAACTTTAGGTGATCACTTTGTCTTGTTTAGAAAAACACATCAGTGTTTGTTAGAAAGGTTTTGTCATCCATGCATCAAGAAACAGGGTATTTTTTAATCAAATGTTCACTTCTCAAGTTAATTTGAGAATTATTTTTTAAAATTGTGTTAACTTCTGGGCTCAAATTGTCAATCTCAGTAGCATATTTCGATATAGTTTTCTTTACTACTTTTGTTTTTTAAGAATTAGGAGCTGGAATAGTAAATATTTGATGGGCATGTATCATTTGTCTTGCTTAATCTAAAGCAATTATTTGCTCTAAGAAGGCATGCTCATTGATGTCCACCAAGACATGCATCCTACTTTTCTAGTTAGTCGTCTAGTAGAGATCAAATTTTATATTTGTATTTGAACAGTTAATTTGGGCAGGTTCTGAGCTTTTTAGTCATGATTACTAGCCAATATATTTTGATCATTTATAAACAGTTAGAAATGCTTTACATTTCTGAGAGTTCTAGAATGATTGCTATTACTCTGTTCATGTCTCTTTGGGATCCAAATAGAAAAAAATATATACAATAAAATAGGGGGAAAATAATCAAAGAAATCTTTGTCTTAGATATGGGTCAACCATATATAAATAATACTAGTTTAAGGGACTAGTGGATTATCCTCATAGACTATTTCTTGATAGACATGGAAGTAAAATAATTGGTGTAAAGGAGGGTAGAATCCTGGAAGAGCACATGGAACTGAGATTTAATGTATAGATTGAAAAAGAGTTGTTGGTCAATGTTGTTGAACTAAATTACATTATTATATTACAAATTACAACTTAACGCTTTACAACTATATATAAGCAGGGAGCGAAGGATCGGTTAGATGGTTCAGCAGAGGAACGGTAGATCAGAGATTCCAAATTCACACCTTCTCACTTATTAAAAAAAAAAAAAACCTACGTCGAAGATTTGATAAGGATCAAGTCTAATAGTAGACTATCGTACAAGCAGATGAATTCTAAATTTATTAACTTCACTTAATTGTGAAATAATTTATTTGTAGATCAGGTCTAAAATCTTACATGGGAGGATGTGGGATTTTTTTTTTCATTTTTTTACTTTTCATGTCTATTTTTCAATTCTATGTGGCCGTTTGATGTGGTATTTGAAAATAAAATTGGTTGCCAACTTACAATTTTAGTGACCTTCTAAAATGGCTTGTTAACATGAGAAAACATACCTACCAATACCAAAAAAAAAAAAAGAAAGTATTTAAACAAGACTTTAATGTTCTTGTGGGGTAAATTTTTAGAACACGGAATTGGAAATTGTATATTTTCGTTCAAAGATGCTGTCCTAATCTTGTTACTAGCATTTATGTCGAAGTTGATAAATTATTCAAACTTTGAATTACAATAAATACAGATGCAGATAAGAAGAACCTTTGCAGCCACATTCAGATAGCAATTATTCATCGACTACACAATAGAAATTTAGCAGCTAAAAATTTAAGAAAAGTTGTAGGATAAGATTCTTAATTAATGTTTTATTTTTCTGGCTTGTTGCTGCCACGTTTATGCTGTCATAATTTCTTAATAAAAGTCGTGGGACCAAATATTTATGGCAACATTTTCGTAGAACATTTGAGGAAATATTTTCTGTAAAATTAGTGCAATTTTTTTTGTCAAAATAGTGTAAGTTTCAAATTTTACTTTTTTAAGGAATAGACAATAGATTGGCACGATATTTAAATTGCATTTCTCCTTGCCAATATCAAAATTTTTATTTTTTTTCAAGAATTTACTTTCCAAGAACAAGATAAAGAATACATTTTGCTCACTCATTCGTGCAGTCCTATTGAAGGAGTGGCAAGAATAAATGCAGCAAAAATCGCTTCAGATGATGAAGGATCAGATTCTGTCTAGAAAATTAATGTATATGTTCATAGAAAACGTAAAAAAATTTTGAGAAAAAATGTCAATCCAAATAAAGCATTACGAAGAAATTTCGACGTAATTTTAAAAGTGTAAGTGTAGGTTGCTGTTGTTAATGCATAAGGCTGTAAATTACATGATGTAGGTTGTTATTCAGAATATGTTCAAAAATTGTAGAATTTGTGAATCTACTATTTGTATGAAATAATATCCAATGGAAGACATTAAATCTACAATATGTTAGAACTAGGAACCTGTACATATAATTCAGATCCAATCCCTTAACAATTGCAAGTGGACAAATTGCCCACGGATTTGGAATAAGTATTTTTATTAATTGATATATAAAACACAATATTATTGTATGGCTGTAAAAATTGGTACAGATGAATAAAAAGTTTCACACGTACTCTATACAATCATATAAAGAACAATGCATCAACTTTTGCAACAAATTATTTAAAAAAAAAAAAAAAAAGAACGCTTGAAACAAATATAACAACTAGATTTCTATACAATAGTAACGAGCAAAGAAGTCACTCAACTATATAAGATTGCACTATTTGGTCACTGACGAGGTGGTTTCCGGGCAAGTGAGCCAAGTCGGCAGCAAGAACTCACTTGTCGAGATATAGAAATGTCTGATGTTTTATCCCCCAATCCCACTCCGAAGTTGAAGTCAGTTATGAGTCGGAAGTTATAAATAAAACCAATTGAATTAGAGTCTTTGCGTATCTTTTTCACAAATAGTAGAAGGGTATTTATAGTAGAAAGACCTATGGAAGAAATAATGAATTCTACTCCTTATCAACTGTAGTGTGACACTGTAGGGCAGTGGTATCAAAAGTAGGCCTAGACAGGAGGGTGGTGGTGGTCATATCAACCTGCCATGTATTAATCAGCTTTGCCTGCGGTGTCATGTGTCAGGGTGAGTGACCATACTCGAGAGTGAAACCGAATCAATAAATCGAGACAATACTCGTCTCGGGAAGGCGAGGATGAAATGCATGTTAGCGTTAAGGAGTCGAGGTAATCACCTCAGCATTGAAGATCCGATAAGGGTCAAGATGAACACCCACAGTCACCCTTTTTTTATAGTCAAAAAGGTCTATAAACTCGTAAAAGTGTACCTTTTTCAGTCATTTTGTTGAATTCTGATGTTTTAATAGCAAGAAATGCATCCGTGCAAGCAGTACACTTAAATTTTCAAAAGCAAAAGTATAGCACAATCTTTGGCACCAATCGAGAAAAAATTAAGGACCTTTTGCATTTTGAAACTTTACTAATGTTCATTATATATCGACCTAAATTCCTAAGCACCGTTGTTAAAGATTACAATCGTAATCTAGAGAAAATTGCTCAAGTCTGAAACTGAAAACGTCTTTCAATTTTCATTCAATGCACGCCATAGCTTGTGAGACATTTTTGCCGTTAAAAATCTAAGCGTACCAATCGCATAGTTACACCGGAATTCGACAAAATCACCAAAAAGAAAAAAAAAAACTCAATTGAATTTGGTAACCTTGTCGGTGACATTTTTACCATACCATCAACTCTAAAGTACTAATTGACTATCAATTATTGCAGTCTGCTCCAAGTCCAATAAGCAATTAACAAACACATAAAGTCACCAACTCTGGGGGGGCTTCACATTGAAAACACATGTTCTCGCTGTAGAAATGCATTAAACTAACAGTAAATTCAAGACATAAATATTACATTACCTGATCCGAGAATAGCTGATATTTGAAATAAATCATACACATGGCACCATGTCATTTCCGTTATGGAACAAAATGACTAAACAAGAAATCGGTAGCGTATTAAAGAAATGGTTTTAGTAGAAAAAGACACCTGAAAAGGACGCCTTTCTACTTTCTACTTTCTACTTTCTGCTCGCCGTTCTTGAATTCCATAACTGGCGCAAGAAAAAAGAGCCCATTTAATTTAATCAGTTAGTGATTAATTAAAACGCTAAGGTTTGACGTAAATAGAGTCAGGAAGGTAGAATTTTTGTTGGGTTTTGAAGAAGAAGAAGAAGCAAAATGGACATGAGTAATGGCAATGGTGATGGTGATGTAAAGGAGTCTTTGTTGGTGGAGGGGAAGACTCAGCTGGGCGGAGCTGGGTGGCGCAGCCGGTTGTACTCCGTGAATTCACTCAGGAATGAGTTTATCTCAAGGCTGCCTGATAAGGTCAGGGGTTGTGTTGATCTTGAGTCTTCTTCTCCTGTTGATCTCTCCAAAGCCTCTGGCTTGACTCAAGGTTTGTTTCTTCTTTCTTTCTGGGAATTTGAAATCTGTATCTTTGTGCTTCACTGCTTCTTTCAGAGTTCTTGAAGAAAGGTAAGTCCACAACGGGGGGAAAATGGAAACTTGGATATATCTAAAGCTTAAATACTTGGAATTCAAAGCTGGGAGAGAATCTTTGGGAATAGGAATAAACTTTGGCTAAAACTTTAAGATTTGTTATGTGATTGTATGGCAAGATTCCTGGGAAAGAAGAAAATTTTCTAGGAAAGGGAATAAGAAGAAAAAAGATGCTAATTTTGGAATAATGTGTGTCTGGTTGTGTGTTTACAGAATATAGTCCATGCATCTTGTCGTAGAAGATTTGATTAGGCATCGGATTTGCAAGTTATCCTTTTTCTTTTTCAGGTTTTTGTCTTTTGGTCTTTCGGTCATATCTAAAGTTTCAGAATGGTGAATTGAACCTTTATAAAACTGTTCTTTTGTAAAAAGCAAAAACTAGAAGGGGAAAAAGGGTTTGTGCTAAGAAATTGCGCGACCATAGTGATGGATTCTTAACACAATCTTTGCCTAGACAGGAATTAGTTGTTTTTCTAGTAGATGATAGATTAGATGGATTCGAAATTCACTTTCTTTATGGCTTTGCTTATTCTTTTGGTCATGACCTTGCTCTAATGATGATTGTAGTGCCAAACAATTTCATATTGCTTCATGTCAGTTGATGTCTTGTCTAGAGATAAGAAGGTTAAACAAATGGTTAAGGTTTATATACGTATACTGAACTTGCCAGCAGTAGCAGAAATTATTGAAAAAGTGGAACTTGTGACAAATCTTGAAAAGGGATGACAATGGGAAAAGAATGGAAAATCCTCATACAAGCATGAGTTACAGATTCAGGAGGAGAGATTAAAACCAAGGTAAATCTGGATGACCGTTAATTGAGAGTCAATGGCTTTCTGGTCTGAATTGAGCTTCAGATGCATACCAAGCATCTTGTCATCAAGAATTCATTATGAATAAGCTGAATTTCCCTTTTCACTTGTCATAAGTTCTTCCAAGCATCTTTCTGTTCTCTCTTTTTCTTTCCTTGTATGTTGGATTACCCTATGAACTTGGAGTAGATGTCATCACAATGATGGCAGAATCTTGTGCCATGGAATCCGTTAACATAATCTGGCAGAAGGGCCCTACAGAGGAAATTAACTGAAAAGAAAAAACCGAAAGATTTGCACACTGCTTTTAGTATCACTTTTGTCAACAGCTTGTCTTTTCTTTTATTTTTTGCTTCTGCTTCCTTATATCTGGTCCTTTCCATAATCTGAGAAACCCAAAATGTAGGAGAAAAGGATTACTATGAGAGCCAATTTGCCAACTTAAAATCATTTGAGGAGGTTGACGCTATAGTGACATCTGACAGACTTGATGAGGATGATGTGGAAGAACAATCCAAACAAGAACGAGCTATGAAAATCTCTAATTATGCAAATATTGTGCTGCTTCTATTAAAGGTGACATCTTGCTACTTAATGATGAACTTTGTCTGAAGTTACCTAGCACAATGTAAATCATTTCCAATGTCAGTCTCCGATAGGATTTCAATTTTTGCATTGGTTAAAAGGTGTTCATTTAGGGCTTTATGCTGTACAATTTGCTGATTGGCATTTCATTTCAATTCAAATGCTACATGGCTGAAATTATTTGAATTAAAATGTCTATCCTAAATAAATCTATTTTGGAAGAACTTGTGAAGAAATGTTGACATTATGTGTTAGAATGGGTCGCAATTTGTTTTGCACGTTTGGCTTGTGATTTTTGGTGATAGGAACTTTATGCTTCTGATTACTCCCTGGTCCGTCTTGGACTACATATCACCTAGAAGGAGTATGGTACAAGCATTAATATGAGATCTCTAAGGGATGAGAAAGTATTCCGTCAAGGCAAGGCTGGTGGGAGTTCTTTGATGAGAAGTGAGATTACCGTAGCAGGTGATAGTGCACAGCAAGCATGTGAAGCGATGAGCCCCTTGCTTGAAGAGGATTTATCATACTTATGATATTTTCAAAGATGTGAAGCGGACATCTAAATTGATGTCTTAACCAGTGAGAGGGTGCCTTTGATCCAAATCATTACAGCTCAAATGTCAGTGCAACGAAACTTGGACTTTTATCTACATTGGGAAGGGCAAGCACCCTGAAGACTTCTCCTGAGGTCAATGTGCTATTGAAGCCTTAGCCATAACTACCAAAGAATGGTTCCAAACACTTTTGGACTTTCTTTTCCAGCATCTCGACTTGTTTAATTCTATGACTATTTGACCTTCCTTTCTGATAAAGACAAAGAAAAGAAGTCTGTAAGTGAGAGTCCTATTGCAGACATCATTCTGACATCTTATATCCAACTCTTTTTTTTTCCCCCCAATATGCAAGGAAGTAATGGTTGATTAATTTGTTCAACTACCAATGGTGAATCAATATTGTGCTTGTATAATACTCAATAACTAGATCAGGATATTAACACACTATTTTTGACTTATGTGGAAATTCCTAAACACAACAGAATATCAACATTAATCATGCACTCTGGGCATTCAGTATTTTTTCTTCTAATCTCAGCAGTTCCTTCTGCTACTACCTGCAGATTTTGCTAGTACTTGTAATTTCTTGATCACTACCTAATTGTCTCCAAAAGGCTCCTATCCTTATGATTAATACCAGCTTCTCTTTAACAAAGATGAATTTTCTTTACTTGCATAATGCCAGTGGTTCGTGTAGGAGCACCTGGTGCTGGAAGTCAAGCACATGCCTGTTGCGGGATTTGGTTTTTGTTCGTAATAAAGTAGGAGTACTGAAGGTTCATTTATTTGACCTAAGACCTGTAAATGCATCCAGAAGTCCACTTAAGCCATTTGTCTCTTGCAATGCATAAAGGGATGGAGGTTGCAAACATGAATACTTCCATTGTCTTTGTCGGGTTTCAAGAACAAAAGGAGCTTATTATCTATTCTGTAAAATAAAATTGTCTTGATTGTCTATTTTGCAGGCTTTGTTCCATAAGGTCTTGAGATAATATGATGTTGTTGGAACTATATCTGACACAAACACAATTACAGATATATGCAACTGTGGAGAGTCGGTCCCTGGCAATTGCTGCATCAACACTTGATTCATTGCTCGATCTGATGGCTGGTGGCATACTGTGGCTAACTCACCTGTCTATGAAGAGCATAAACATTTACAAGTATCCCATTGGCAAATTGAGGGTCCAGCCTGTGGGCATAATTATTTTTGCTGCCGTCATGGCAACACTTGGTACGTCCTCATCTAACTTTCCTTTATCCCTAAACAATTTTATCGTTCATGACTCACGAGGTTCATGTTGCTGTTATAATTCCTCCCAGTTGGTCAGTTGAAGCTCTGAGATTCCATAGAAAAACGAGGAGCAAGCAAGAAAAAATTAACGCTAATATCTTTATGAATATCATTGCATTAAATTCACTCATTAAAGTAATAATAAACAAGAGTTTCATGTTTAATACATTTCATTGAGGTTATCCTTGTGAAATCATGTTGTGCATTTGGTTATAGGTTTTCAGGTGTTGGTCCAGGCTGTAGAACAACTAGTTGAAGATAAACCTTCTGCAAAGATGACCGACGATCAGCTAGTGTGGTTGTACTCTATCATGATAACTGCCACTGTAGTGAAACTTGCTCTCTGGGTTTACTGCAAAAGCTCTAGAAATGAGATTGTCCGTGCATATGCGAAGGTATTTAAACTGTCTTTGACTGTACTCCTTTCTTTTCTTTTGAGCAAATTCCCTGACTTGTTTGAGTACCACTTTTCAGGACCACTATTTTGATGTGGTAACAAATGTGGTAGGACTGGTTGCAGCTATACTTGGTGATACGTTCTACTGGTGGATTGATCCTGCTGGTGCCATTGTTCTTGCTCTTTATACAATCACCAATTGGTCTGGGACTGTACTAGAAAATGCTGGTAGACTGTCTAACGAATTTCTCCTACTTAAGACGCATTTTTCTTCTGTGCCACCTGTAGAATAAGATAGAAATGTTAGCTTTAGTATCAGTTGAATTCAAACATCCACAATTCATTGATATTCTTTGTTAGCAAAAGAACTATCACTGGACAAGCAAGTGCTTAGGCTCGTTTGTGGTCATTGTCACTCATCCTTCTTAGCTTCTTGGACTTTTGTTTCTTGTACAAGGGTAGCCAACTCTAGAAAGTTAGAATCTAGAGATCATCCTTGCAAGTAATTTTATTGCTTATTATAATCTATTATTTATCTATGGTGAGCAATGCATCCCCTTCCATAGGAAATGACTCTTTGATGAGATCATTTGAGTAAAAATTTTGCAGCACTGTCTGTTATTCCAGATGTTGAGAGTGAAAATTGAACTGTTTAGTCAATATCACTATGAACATGTTTTTTGAGAAGAAATCCTTAACCTGATATGGGGTTTCTTAATGCAGTGTCACTAGTGGGACAATCTGCCCCTCCTGAAATGCTGCAGAAGTTGACATACCTTTCCCTCAGACATCCTCAAGTCAAGCGGATTGACACTGTCCGGGCATACACGTTTGGCGCCCTGTACTTTGTTGAGGTTGGTCATTTACAAGTCATCATCTCGCATTGTGAACTAGTTTCGTTGGTTTTGTAATTTCCTTTGTCCTCCAGATTAATTTTGTCGAATCTTTTGTCTGCCTGTTGATGAAAACAGGTTGACATTGAACTCCCGGAAGATTTGCCATTGAAGGAGGCACATACGATTGGGGAGACCCTGCAAATCAAGCTTGAGAAACTTCCTGAAGTTGAACGTGCGTTTGTCCATCTTGACTTTGAATGTACACACAAACCTGAGCACTCTATTCTCAGCAGGCTCCCCAGCACCGACCCGTGAATTTTCAGTTCGTGAAGTTAATCAGGGACAGGTCCTTTGGAAAGATCAATAGTAGCTTTAGAATCATCAAAATAGCGTTCTGGTTGAGTATCAAGGATCTTTCAAACATTGTGAAAGATGTTTTGGGCTGAAAGCGTGATTTGAATTTTTTCATCGGAGTCGCAGCAAATGGCTTTATAACTAGAAAAATTCCCGGCTTGAAACATGGTTTTTTAAGTGGAAATGGCAGGCAATGCAGGTCCTGCCTTTCTCTTTCCATCTAGATCTCTACTATAGCAGTTTTGCTTCGATAGCTGGCCATATTGAAAGAGAATCTTGTACAATGAGTTGGCTACCAAAACCCCGGAATCAGAATCTTGAGTATACTCTTGAAGTGAGCTTGCAATACTTTTTTTTTCGGATGCGATAAATTATATTCTAGACCTACTCTTACACCAAAGGGAAAGAGTGGACCCAAGAAGGTCAATGGGGAACTCGGAGGGGATTGAACCGTCATCGAACTAGACGAATGCCTTTGCACCTGCTAGTGAAATTTTTACAAAATTCTGAATAAAAATGCAAGTCAAGGGATTCAATCCTTTAACTTACATCTAAGGTCAATTACGTCTAAAGTAGTTGGTTTGGAACTTGCAATACTCTTCATGCTTTCTCTCAACATTAATAGTTACCTATCCTAGATTACTTTTGCATTGTGATTTTCTACAGAAAAAATTTTATGTTTTTTGTGAACATATTTTTCAATCATTTTTTTACTTCACATGCATCAAATTGTTATAGTACATTCTTCTACAAAAAGTCCTAAAAACAGCAATCGAAACGGTAAATTCTGAGCTAAAGCTACATGCCGACAAGATTTAGTCATTTAGATCGACAGAAATGTCAGTCTCTTTCAAAACTCAATGACTGCTATTTCCTTCTCCAATATCGAAAGCGTGTCCATTTGCGTTATTTGAAGGTCACAAACTATAAGCCCATAAGCAAGGAAGGCGTGGTTTGAGGTGTTGTTCAGGAATAGCGCCTTCAAGTTGGTTTGGCAGGAATCAACTTTTCCAGAATAAGCTTGGGGGTAACCGAAGTGAAAAAAAGTAAATAAATCACTAAGAAAAATACAGAAATTTGACATCCCCAAATTCATGGAGCCCTTCATTCAGAACATGGATGTACATATGTAATAAAGCATGAAAGTTAAAGCTTGGAAGATGGTTTGCTGCTTTCCTCCCTTTGCAGCAGTTCAAGATGATCATGTTCATCCCTTCTGCCTTGATGACCTTCTTCATTACCATTTTTCCCCTTTCTTTCACCCCTTCTGTTGCTTTCATTTCCTACCTCCTTTGTGTCATCCTGTTCAGCCTGAACAAGTATTTGCATAAGAAACAATATTGAAGAGATTATTCTGGGAAGAAAACTCCTTAAAGCAACTACTTGTAGCTTGCAAGGCTACTACATCTTGCAGGAACCAAATAGAATATGAATGCTATTAGGTGAGAGGAGATTGCCTTACCATCAACAATACGAATACCAATAGGAATAACACTCTTTTCAATTTTTTTGGGAGCAAGTCATTGATCCGGTTATGCAGATTTATCCAAATACCTAGTTGAATGAATGAGAATTATGGGTCCTAAACCCCTTAACCATACCATGCTTTTGCTCATAGCAATTAAACCAACCTTTTCTTTGGCTTTGCCTGGAGGATGCTGCTTCTTCTGTGGTCCAGTTTCCACTTTAAGTGCATATGCTGGACAGTATAACTCTCCCTGTCCCACTTCATCTGTTGATGAAGATTCAGAATTCCTCTTGGCTTCCCTCATTCTATCTTTGCTTTTCTTTTTCTGTATTCCTTACATAAAAACTACCATGGAAAATGGTTGCATGAGAAAGTCTTATTATAACACTTGTTTCTGAATTTCAAACGGTGCAAACATTAGCATGCAGACTCATCCCTTGCTGACACCACCTGTCCATTTGGCTGCTGCATGCTTTATTGGATTTTGTCTATTAGGTCTTTTCTCCTCTTGGGTTCTTTTTGGCTCTAGAACCTTGTGGTGAGTAGCGGTTTTTGCTAAAAATAGAGAAAATTTGATAAGGTCTTGGCCCTTTATATCCTACCAGTCATGCTCGAATGATTATTCAAGGTGTTTGACAAACTGGATTTCTGGTCTCAGCAATTGACTTTAAAAAAAATAAAAAGAAAAGAATTCTAACAAAGAGTGAAATGTAAGAAGTTGCAGGAAAGAAGAAGGATTTGAACTTAGGAGTAAGAAGCTTAGAGGGGAGGAGAATTTGAACTCAAGATCTCTAATTCCTGAGACTTAACCTCAACAAACGACTTTCCAAACTGCTAATATTAAAAATTTATTCAAGACAAGTAAGAATTACATTATATTTGCCTTGCACCAGTTGCAATGTGTGAGCTACAGAGACCAATTGCCTCTCTACCTCAATAATAAAAAAAAAAAATTTCTTGATAATCATCCTCGAGAATAAACTTAAAATGGACTTGAGCATAATCGGGACTTTGGTTGTTCAGATTGCAGTGCATTCTCATAGTGATCTTTGGCTGTCAACATCCCTGCCCAAATGTTTGTGCAAAGTAAAAATGTATTGATTTTTCATATAGAATGATACTTAAGATAGCAAAAGTCACTGTGACTGATCTAGAAAGCTTACAAAGCTTAATAACAAGAGGGAGTCTACAGCCTGCAGCAATTTTAGAAACTAAAAGACACATCTCTACATTTATGAAAAGCCTCAGGAAAGATCAGTTTATTTACACCGACGTGCTTGAAATATTAGAGAAAAATAAATTACAAATGTAAAGCCAAAACTGTAGCAAAATCGGGATACACAGGAGAGAACATATAGTTTCTCAAGAGGTCATGTTCAAAGTGCAACAACCAATATCTACTCTATCCACAGCCGTTTGCCCTCAGTTGTGTGCCATTCCACCAACTTGTTACTCTGTAATTCCACTGTTAACTGCATTACAAGTTCATGCCTTTGAGAGTAAACGAAGAGGCAAGAAAATTGATAATTGGAAGAAGAACAAGGAAAAGAAAAACGGACACACGGTTTAAGTAAAGAAAGTGTAAAACCACTGAATGAAAAAGACAATAGTTGATGAGCAGGGTTAAAATATAACAACTGATGGAAAACGTGAAAAAAAAGAATGATTGAAAAAGAAGTTACCTAAGAGTTCGGCAACAAGCGACCATTATACATCTTGTCAAGCAGTTGTTTAGCATCTGGCCTTCTGAGCAGACCTTTGTTGTTGGGCAAACCAGTCCCTAAACATACAGGACACACGAGTTTCCCTCTACCTGCAATGAAGTATCGAATATCAAAGCTTAACCAATGTCGACGCTGTTTTGGATCAGTACTCTTCTGTACATCTCAAAACCACCATTTTCCTTAAAAATTCAAAGTACCACTTTAATATATTTGTCACTCATTCCTGTTCTCTGTAACTTGGGACTCGATCAACGCTGTGTTTTTATGCAACCATACAAGTGTAAAACATGTACGTGATGTGTATATGGATACCTTTTTTTTTTTCTTGTATATGGATATCTGTTTTACATTGAAAAGCAACTTTCTCTATGACATGTCAGTATAGGAGGATGGTAGTGGACTCTGAAAGCCACCATAAATGTACAATATAATCTCTATTGATTATGTAGATTTTGGTTTGCAAATGGAAGATGTAAATTGCTGGAAAACAATTCAAGGAGATATTCCTTCAAAATCACCATTTTAAGGTGGTGAAACATTGATCACAAACAACCATGTTCACCAAACAGCTAACTTGTCTCTCCATGGCTAGTGGGTAATGTCATATTAGTGTAACTGCATAGTAATAACCATTCTACCAAGTAACTCCCTGACGCAAATGTTGTTTTTGTAATCTGTTGCAGTTCAATTCTAGTAAAATCTTTCATTGTAATTACAGGGTTTTCCTCATCAATCTTCTGAGGAACAATTCTAAAAAATTTCCATTGAGAGTTTAATATAGACCAGCATTGTTCTATTCTCATAACAATTTCTTTTTCCTTTTTTAACATAAGTGTCCAATTTATTGGTTCAGTATCAACGAAACCAGTATATGCAGACATGAACCACTCGTCAGCAAATCCATCTTCCAAAACACGACCTAAAAGTAGTCGAAAGACAAGAGAAACATATTCCAAATTCAGGCTTCACTTTTACTAGAAGTCAAAGTTCCAATATTTGGGTGTTCTCCCTGAAAGTTTGATCAAGAACATCAAAAGGTACAGAAACCTGCCTGCCTCACATATGCGAAAATGCAAATCTAGTAAAACAAAACAAATCATTTTGATGTAAAGTAATAAGGGATAAAAATATCCTGCTGAATGACTGAAACTTTCTGAACTCATATGCAAAAATGTCTAGCATCATTTCTGGTAGCTTTCTTTCAAGTGAACATGTAATATAGTAAATAATCAGTAACATAATGCCATCTTTACACAGATACAATGCAGTGAGGCTACTAAAGTTAAGTGCCCTAACTGGCTTATAGCACAGAAGTTTTCATGGAAATCAAGAATTTATGAGTAGTGAAAATTTGCATACCATAACAATTGGGACACTCAGTGAACTCGTAAACATCTTTCGCCCGTTTTCTGTTGAGAGCTTTCCATTTTCCTGTACCACCACACATATCACCTAATAAAAAGCAACAACCATCTTATAGGTACATATTGTCAACGTGAAACTAATTATAACTTATATTTGCAACAATAACGTATCTGTTTCATTGACGTGCTGTATATAAGGCATTTGACTATGATTAATACGATATACTTGAGACATAGAAAAGTAATGCAGGAATCATATATTTGAAATATTTGCAGAAGATTACAAAGAATTGTAATACAAAACCAAATTTAGTTTTAAATGTACCCTGTCAATGTTAACTGATACATGTATGGCATAATAGAGTATGATACTCTACATGCAGCCCTAGAGAAAAAGACTTGAACATAGTCGGTGGAGGTGAAATGAACATGTAGGCAAGAAAATATGTGTCATGTCATGTGTCAAATGAGCATTGTCATTGTAAACAACGAGGTTCATCTTCACAGCTCAGCCCAGTTGCATTTCCATAGTTCAGTAAACCATATGTGTTTTGTATAATGAGCCATATCTGGGATATGGTCTTTTGAATTTTGATGAAAAATAATTACCAAGAGATTTGTGTTGCGATTACAGCTTATGTACAAAGAACCTTAGGTAATGAAGATTCATTTAATTTAAGGAACTGAAGAAAAATAGCTTTAGTGTCATAAGAGCTTTGCTAGCATCAAGTCACTGAACTTCTATCCTGGCTTTTATTATTTAAACTACATTTTCTACCAAAAAAAGATGACTGGAATATTCAACCCTGCCACTAGGACAAGATTGGCATGATTCTATAATTGTAGTCATAGGAAGTGAATTAATCCCGTTGATCAGTGAAAAATAGTCTCTTTTTATGTTTTTCTTTTTATCTCATTGTAATTGACAAACACTAAGCATTTTGCCTTCGTGAGTTATAAGTTTACAAGCATCCCTTTAAATGACATTACATAGTAAAGAAGAAATGAAGTGAGGAACCCCCAATATCTAAGATTGACCAAGCTATCGTTTATCAGAACAGAGATTGTTATCATGCATTATGGCGGTTCCTGTTATCACTTCAAGTCATCTTGACCACAGGATAATATATATGCTTCATGAAAATAATGAAACTTTGTCCACGGAATTCGATAAATCAAAGAATCGAGTGGACAGTCAAACTCCATCTATGCCTTAGACTTCTAACAGTTTTGGATCTACAAAATGAATTATACAGAATGTAAACAAAATGAAGACAAGAGACAAAGAGAACAAATAGCGAATTTCTAAACTTACAAATGACTGCTCCGTTACCCCCACAATTCCGACAAACAGCTCGCTCCTTTGCTTCTGAAGCAATTGCCTTAGGTCCAGAAACAGAACTGCTAGAAATGTTTATCAGTGCTACTGTTGAACATAAACAAGTCAGACACAAGCGTCGTGAAATTGATGTTTCCAAACCCTGTTTCAGAAGAAGCAACCATCCCAGATGTAATTGTTGTACAATATAACCCTTCGATAATTTTAGCAGCATAGACATACAAGTTTCTAATTCACATAAACATTGTCATTAAAAAATTTAAAATCATCATTCTTTGGTACAACTAAACTACAAATGTGGCTACTGATGTGTGCCTATTGTATTCATATAAGTTCAGGTTCAAAGGGCTCAAGCATTCGACATTTGCAGATAACTAAAGTCTTACAACAATGTTGCATTGGTGCATAGATGTAAAACTAAAGAAGCATATGCCATAATTAGCTTTTGAGCTCCTTGGAAACAACTAAGACTCTATCAGAGATTAACAAAGAAATTAATTTTCAGGCAGGAATAGTTGATAGCACAACTGTAGAACGAGCTCATGTGGCATTTCCCTGATGAAAGTTCTACTCATCTTCATTACAGATAATTAAATTCACCCAAAAAATTCAAAATTCACAGACGAGCATTTTCCATTTCGTAAAACTGTGCAAGGTATTGAGAAGTTTCATATAGCTTCAACAATTTGTTGACTGCAGTCTGTCTAAAACTGTCAATGATCACATAAGAAACTCAATATAAAGTACAAACCGAATAAGAAAAAGGATTAAAGAAAGGGGCAGACCACTTTATCACTGGGTTGTGATGAATGGTCTGAGGGAGAGCAATTCTCATCACCCAAGCTGCATCTCAAATTAAACCTGGCTGGCTCCAATTTGGCTGCAATCCCACATCAGAAAATCAATTCTTTAATCCAAAAACCAGGGGGTTTGGGCGGCGGGGGGAGCACGCCCATTATATTTCAAATTTTGGGTTTTCTTTATCTAGTTTGAACAACGAAAGAAATATGAAAAATGAAGTTAATTGTGCAAAGAAATTCTAGTAACCAAAAAACAAAAAAAAAAACAGTAGAAAGAGTATAAAAACATCAGCTTTATGCAGTTCTGTGGGATATAATTTGATAATCAGCAAAAACCAAAAGTTGAAACCAGTAAGCTAAAACTTTTAAATTGCTTCATACCAGTGCAAGAGCTACATAGAGAAAGATAAAGAAAGATACGATGAAAACACTTGTAAATTATGCAGTTATCTTATCTGTCTATCTTCTATGTAAGCTATAGCTGCTCTAAAACATGAATGTATGTAAAAGAAACCATAGAGATAAAGAAGAGAGGGAGAATCTGACAATGGGTTGGGGAAGATTTGGAGCGTGGTGAAGAGAAGAGCGGGAAAGCTGAGGCCACCGTTGCAGAATAATGGGAACAGAGTTGAGACGCCATTTCTGCTCTGTTACACTCTCCGCTCTCCGCGTGTGGAGGATATTGCCAATTTATGGTATTCCTTTATTGCTTCTTTCTTTCTTTTTTTTCCTTTTCTTTTTTGTGTGAATTTGGGTAAATTGATACAATGGGCTCTCAATTTTTTTTTTTTTTGAATGACTTCAATTTAGTTACTCAGGTAATATTATAAACCTTACCAAATTTGTAATAAATCCTATGAGTAAATATTTCATGCACTGACAAGTGACAATATACACACTTGTGCATCCAATTGCATTTCCAACATGTAAAATTTGTTGTTTAAATTTAAGTTTAGATGATGACACATGCATTTATATACACAATTGCATATCTAATTGCATTCCAAACTTGCAAAGTTTGTTGTTTAAATTTAAGTCTGGATGATATGACATGTATTTTGCCCTTGTGGGGTTGCCATCCCACATCGGTTCTTGGGGGGGTTTGGGGTTGGGTTTATAAGTCCCTGGGAGGACCTCAAAAGTTGCCGGCTTTTGAGGTTTCTTCTGGGATTAGGTTTATTAATCTAACTTTCGTCAAAAAAAAGCCAATTCTTAGGAAAAGGTCAAGAGGCAAATTCCTGCATAGAGTAGTTATACTGGGTTTCGTGGGGGGTCGTCACTTCTTAGTAGCAGCGGGCCTACTGGCTTGCCCTTATGGGGTTGCCATCCTACATCGGTTCTTGGGGGGGTTTGGGGTTGGGTTTATAAGTCCCTGGGAGGACCTCAAAAGTTGCCGGCTTTTGAGGTTTCTTCTGGGATTAGGTTTATTAATCTAACTTTCGTCAAAAAAAAAAAGATATGACATGTATTCAGATCAAGGTTTTCAAAATCGGAATCCTACCTAGGATCGTTTTTTGGTTGGCAGGATTGGATCGTAGAATCAGTAGATCCTACAAAAAAATGTAATAAATTGTCATATTTATAATTTTTAAGTTTGCAATTCATAAATATAGTGACAAATAATGTAATTCATGTGCAGTCAATATAATTATATTGTTAATTAAGGTTAAAATTGTGCTATATAAAGTATTTCGGACAATTTGAAAAAATAGAGAGAAATTTGGGACTACTTATAATATATTGATTAAACTTAACAACTTGTTCTTTCTTGTTGTAAATCCAAATTCAATTATGGAACAATATATATGGAAAAGCTGACTTTATATGTGTATAAATCATCTTATTAATAAAATAGTTAAACACAATACATTTAGTTAACTATGATTTAGTGATTGATTATTACATCATTTTTTTATATAATAGGATAATTAAATATTACATATATAATAAAATGTTTCAAGTATATTTTAATTGATAGAAAAATTGGTATACAATAAACAAATAATTAAAGAAAATTTTGAGAATAGAATTTTGTGCTAAAAAACGTGTATTTTTTGTTCAATTTTATAATCCACCACTTATCCACTTATAATTAGCAAAAGTATTAATTCATTTCTAAAGACTCTAAACCTTATTAATTTATTATAATAAAGACACAAAACACTAGCTCCATGTGATAACCTATAACAAAGATCATCTATTCACTTTAGTGAATTATATGAGTCAAATTTAAAGATTCATCAAATTTTCTAGGTTTGGAATTGGGGTTAGTTATTTACATGGATTTGAAGCACTTTGACTATAGTTTACAATGCAACAAACAGCACTCAATTTCGACTTTTCTACACAAAGATATGATCAAAATACTAAAATTGTTACTTAATTTAGTAGAAAGATTAATCCATATAGTATATAATAATTCAAGTTTAAGAATTAGTTATAGAGTTTAAGAATTAGTTAGTGTGATATGGCATGCATTTAGACCTATCAGTCTATATAGAAAGATTAATCATAATATGTAATAATTCAAAAATTAATTATGTGAAAAGTCACCAAGTTCTTTCTTTCATTTTGTAGATAATCTTAGCTATAACAATGTAGGCAAATTTTCAGCCTTCACGTACGGTTAAAAATCCATGAATTCACCATTCTTATAAATAGGATTTGGGAAGATCTTGTAAGAAGTCAGGATCCTCGGGTTGGTTTTAGTTTGGTGTCTTGAGTTTTGGTCCTTTAGATTGTGATAGCTTGGTGTAATATTTTACATTAAAATTGTGAGCTTTGACTATGCATTTTACTCTGGACTCGCTACTTGAGAACCTCAATATGAATGAAAATTGGAGCCACTAAGTCGACTAGAAGGGAGAAGGGAAATGAAGATGTGACATTTTAAGCCCAAAAAATGACTATAAGTAACATTTTTATTAATTCTCTTACACATTACTTTTGTCAAGCTAATGTAGTGGCTGATTCTTTGACTACCATGGGTAGTTTTAGGCTTTCCTTTCATTGTTATTAGTTCCTTTGTAGATTTGCCAAAACTGATGAAAGGCCTATGTAATGTTGATAGGTTTGGGATTGGATAAAACTCATAAAACTGAAATCTGAAATTTGAAGTCTGAATCCATTAACTTATTGAATTGTTAAGTATTAAATTTAATATATTTGAGTGCGTATCACATTCAGTGATAAGTGAATTGTTTATCACTTAATTTTAGAAGCAAGTTTTGCCTAGAAAATTCAGTGTTACTTAATTAATTCAAATGTTCAATTTTTAGTTGTCAAACGGTCTAAATGTATTAAGATCTAAATCCATTAAATTTAAATACTAAACTGGATTATCAAACAGAGCCCTAGACATTAAGAGATAAGATTTTATGTTCCCCTCAATTTACATATAATTATTTTATTTTTATTAATAAAATGGGTAACCAAACTCACCCGTCAGACATCATTGGCGGTTTTGGGAAAAAAAAAAAGAGTAGCACTGGGGAACTGCATAGCAATATAAAAAATTTGATAATGCCAAAGCCAGAATACTTCCCTGTATGGGAAGGGACTAAATTGATATCTTCTGGAAATACGAGGGACCTTTCCATCAGTTATGATCTTTTACTTCCATGTATTTGTGTTGAGACTGGGTTTTTGCTGGCGTAAACTTTATCCACAGTAGCTAGCTCAAAGTACTTGCACAATCACTAGTAGTTGACATTCTAAACTAATCAAACTCTTGAAAAACTTCTGATAGAAACACACATACTTGAATTCGATTGTACAGCTATATAGAGTTTGTCCTGGATTGCATCTAAATAAGTTCATTCCAATAGTCTTGTTAAGTGCAACTGCAAATGCCATAACTTCACAGAAATAGTTTCAGAAGTTACTAACATCAACCAAGAAAGGGCTATGAACAAATTCGAGCATTTGACTATACCGTCATTCAGAAGTAAATGATAAAAAAAAAAAAAAGAGAGATATCTGTTATATCCCCATTCAAGAGTTTATCCAATTCTACATTTTTACTATGTTGTTGGCATTCAAATACTCTGACCTACTTTTACTGTCAAACTGAAAACCCATTCAACAGCTGAAGGTAAAGGTAAAATTGTCAAAGTCACTCCCTTCAACTACTGCTGTCTGCTTCTGTGCTTCAGAACAAGTGGTGTTTTTAGGCATGCTTGAGAAAAGTGCAGACAAAGGATGGGTCTGATATTAGCATGGAAATGAGATTACTCCCAATTCCCAGAATCTCCAAGTTTGCAAATTGAGTTGGCATTGATACAAGGCTGCAGTTTCATCACCAATGGTGTTATGGAATCAGTGAAATTCAGGAGTATCAATGGATCGAATTCCAATTGTGTCAGTAATCCTGGTCACCACAGACTCCAACCTGACCAACCAAAAAGCAAAAAAGAGTATCCTGATGGAAGGAGATAAGCAGTGAGATGGGGAAAAAAAATCTAAATGGCCAGAATCAAGACAAATCTTCTTTTAGAAAGGCCAGAAGAGGCAGCGATTTGGTTCTTCAAAAATATATCACCACTATCCCATGGCCTTAGTTTGATCATGTCCAAGCTCAGCACTGTTTTCCTTCAAAATTAAACTTCGCTTCCAAACTTCATGACTGCCTGGAAGACACATGGATGGAAAAGAAACAGAAAAGCCCATTATTTATCTGATAAAAGAAAATGCACATAACTAGAAAACTGCATGTCAATAAACAGAATTAAGAACAGTACTAAACTGGAGAGGACACATTCATAAAATTATGCTCATAAAGGAGAGAAGTGTGATTAAAGGAAAAAAAAAAAAGTAATTCTACAATGGAAGACTAAGAAATAAATGAGATGGTAAAGTATCTTTAATTTTTTTATGGGTTTACTCACAGGAATATAGAATTGTAGGTGAAAACATGTGGCACAGACGAAGCCGCTATAATAGTTATTATTGTACAAAAACTCCATTAGTTTCACCAACCTATCTCAACTATCCGAGAAGAAGGTTAACTCATTTTCTACTAGTGTCATAATTTGATCTCTCGTGAAAACTTACATGCCTACACAACCACAGAAACGTGTAATAAGCACTGCCTAAGCTATCTCCATAATGGAACCATTAAGTGCTCAACAAAGTTTACATGAACACCCACAAAAAAAACACGTGGCCAAATTTATCATTCACCATACTTTCTAGGCTGATAACTCTTCCATATTCCAGAACTAAAACAAAAAAAAGCATTACATGACAAAGAAACAGAAGGAGAGGTAGCCACTCTTTAGTCCAATTGCTTTAACACACAAATCAAACTACCTGTAATAAGACCGTTATTATTCCAAGGCACGAGGAATTGTTACCAATTTTTGTAAGAAAAAATTGCACTCATTACGAGATGTGTAAAATGAACGTCCAGCAATATTTGACCAAAACAAGCAGAATTAAATAAGTTTTGCCAATCTATTTTTCCCTCTTTTAGGGACCTCCCAAAAAGTTCATTCACAAAAAGGTAAATGTAAGTGTAACAATTATAAGACCGCACGTAAATTCAGAATACCAACCTATCTGACATCATCAACTGCATGTGATCTTCACAAAATGCTGGCAAACCTTTTCTCCAAGGCATCTTGTAAAGCAAGAAAGCACCCCCAAAACATGAGATATCATGAAGCTGTTCTTTGCCTCAGCAAAGGAATCAAGCTGCAAAACAAAAGACTCCCTTATACCTACGAATTAAAGCATAGTCCACTCCAACAAGAAATAAAAACAATAATGAGCTGAAATACTGCAATCTATCTTCACAGGAGCCATAGACCAGCTTAGAGGTAGAGTGACTATTGCTTACATGAACTTCAATCTATGAGGCCTCAAATTACAAAACCACTTTTTGGTACTGTTTCAACTGATTTGATTTGTACTTCTATGCCATGGATTGCCCAAATCTTCAGTTCAAGCATATGGGTGTGCTTCATACAATTCATTGATTTATAAGCTTCAAATAATCATTTCTAGAAGCAGGTGCTTTCACTCTATTTTTTCATTCAAGAAATATGTCTGTGATTCACTCCCAGATCTAACTCTCTCAAAAGAATGGCACAGTCCTTTTCACATTCTTTGTCATTGAACCAACTGCATTTTTTCCACAATCCCAATTCACTGATTAGCTGCAACAAAGACCTCCTTCAATAACTCCAAATGTTACCTTCTTAAACCAGGGAAAAAAATACAATTAAGGCGTTAAATCATCATTTCATAGACGTTTAAGGATACAAGTCAGTGAAGGGGAGAAAAGAAGTAAAGTGTCTAAATTTTTTTTTTTTAAAAAAAAGACCAACAAAAACAGCAGAAGGGACTGAAATACAAATTTAAGTGAATGAAGCCATTCTGTTATGCAATGATTTTAGAAAAGAGGAACAAGACTCCAACTCAAGCATAAAATCCTATCAAGAGAGGGAAAGAAAATGAAATAAAAAAATAATCATCTTATAAATGGAATTCTTATTTTTTTTTTAAAAAAGCAGCAGCAAAGACAATCAGACTCTCAACATATCATTTCCAACAACTTACCACCATAATAGACTCAGAACAGCTTCTATGTACAATTTTAATTTACTCCATCTTAAAAACTGCCTGAAAGTATAGATTTGCTCAATCCAAGTAAAGTCATGGGCTTATCCCCATCCAGCTAGCCACAATGCATCTTCATTTGCTAAACATCTTAAGAATATCCATGCTTCTATGAATTGAGCTACAAATCCTCCAATTTTTTGTCCATCTCAATAATGCAAACAGATCATTTATCATGTGAAGTTGTCCATTTGGCCTATCAGCAAAACCTCCACTTACTACAACTGAGCAAAATTACTATTTTGTTTAAATTTAGAAAATATATGAAGGAAAAAGAAAAAGGGAATTCTTAACGTTCCATTATTGCTGAAAGTCATAGCCTTCCGCCACACCATATCTCTTCTTTTTTATTAAATTTCATTTTCATCCATTAACATCCCTAATCCTACCTTCCAAACTGGCTTTTTGGGACTCGTAGCATATAATGTGAACCAAACAATATAAAAGAAAGAATTGAGTTATAAATAGATCAGAATACTAAACTTAACTGCCAAGCCAAGAGAATAAGCCAGACCTCCTAAAACATGATGGTTATTAACATGAATGAAAATACATAACAGGCAAAAGTCTGGACATAAAAGTCACCAGCGACGAGACAGAAAACGAGTACATCACCAAAACAGATCAACCAGAAAATCAAACATAAATAAGCAGTCAAAGGATAAAAAAGTTAAAAAGGAACAGATAAGTAAGTAGAATTATGTGCAGTAATACGGAGGTCGATGCACCATACAGGGTTAAAGCAGTCCAAATACAATACACAAGACTGGGGAAAAAAAAATCCTTTGCCTGGTATTACTGGTTACCCAGGATTTCTTCCACAAAAAGAAAACTCACAATGTTGGCAATGTCTCTTGGAGAATAGTTGAAAACCAGGAAACCAATGCATGATAGAATCCCCCAAGAACAGCACATTTCTCATTTTATCATGTTATAAATAAAACTTTTAAAGGTCCATCAAACAAAGATTCAAGGAATCTATTAGCTGACTGAGCATGTGCAAGTAGCAGATACCATCTTAAAACCCAAATCTTGCATTTTGATTTGTTAATCAATGCTTAATTAATTACTGCAGATAGCCAAGTGGGTGAGGGACATACTCACCTTGAAGCATCTATTTTTCCTTATTTCATAGGTAGGAATGAGAGGTTTTATCTCCCTACCCACCCATAATAAACCTTGAAACTTTGAACAAAAGAACAATGAAAGGAATTCAACAAGCAGAAAAGTTTTCCTCTAAAGACAAACAGCAGGTACTTAAAAAATTACAATCCAAGAAAGCAAAAGAGGAAGAGAAGGAAAGCAAAGATACAATCGTGTGCGAAGATCTTATACTGACAAGTAGACCTCTTATTACTAAATTCATGAACAATTTAGGAAAAGATATTTCAACACTATCAAGAATGTGAAAAGCTAAATTGACCAGATATGGTATTGTAGGGCCCATCTTAAGAATGCACTAAGAAAGCAATGAAAAAGACAAATATGGATGTTTCCATCCCATCTATACAAAGATTCCGAAAAAAGACAAATCTCCTCTCCGATTCCCATCTAGTGGGGTGTTTCATTAATAATCTAATCAATAAGAAATACAGGGGTTTAAAAAAAGTAACTTCGTATGCCTTTTTTACTCACCAGGACAAAACATTTCAAAATAGGAAAAGGTTCTGTCTTCACCATTTGTTACTGGGTGATCATATTCCACCGCGATCAGCCAACAGTTCAACAAGTGGGTTAGCTTCTCCTAATGATGATGAATTGACTTTATCAGATACAGTAGTTTGATGCAAGTTATGATCTATTTCTAACCAACTAAGTGCTTGTTCTTTGCTAACATTCCACTCATTCATTAGCTGTCTCAACCTCATCACAGAGTCCCACTTGCCAAGTGCTGCATATATTCTTGACAGTGATATGTAGATTGCTGGTGATTGAGGATTCAACTGAAGAAGGTGTTTTGCTGCTATTCTTCCCAGCTCTATATTTCCATGCATCGTACAAACACCAATTAAGGCATTCCAGACATGTTCGTCCGGTTTGCATGGCATCTTTCTTAGATGATCCATTACCTCATGGAATCGTCCTGCTCGACCTAAAATATCAATTAAGCAAGAATAATGTTCCTGATCTGGAACAATATTGTGATCGCGATTCATTGACTCAAATAACCTAAGTCCCTCGTGCACAAGCCCTGAGTGACTACATGCACTGAGAAGAACAAGAAAGGTGATTTTGTCTGGTCTAACGCCCACTGTCACCATTTCAGCAAACAAATTTATTGCTTTCTCACCAGAACCATGCTGTGCAAGTGCAGATAACATTGTGTTCCACAATACTACGTCTTGTTTGTCACCCACAACATCAAAAACTTGCTTTGCAAGTTCCAGACAACCACACTTTGAATACATGTCAATGAGAGAACTTAAAACTATTGAATTAGGCCTAAATTTAATCCTTATCAAATGTGCATGGATTTGTTTACCATGTTTGAGTGAGGCTATACTTGCACTAGCACAGAGGCAACTACTAAAAGTAAACTGATCAGGTCTAATGCAAAGCATCATCATCTTCATAAACAAGTCAAGGGCCTCATGTCCCTTGTTATTACGAGCATAACCTGAAATCATAGCAGTCCAAGAAACAGGATTCCTTTCAGGCATCACATCAAATAACACCCTGGCTGACTCCATATCACCCCATTTGGCATATCCTGATATCAAAGTGGTCCAAGCCAGAACATCCCTTCTTCCCATCTGATCAAATAATTTCCTGGCATCACCCAATTCCCCACATTTAGCATATGCATCAACAATGGAACTAGAAAGGACCACATTTAGTGAAAACCCTGCTACCAAAACTTGAGAGTGGACCTGCTTTGTTAGCCTCAACTCCCTTAACTTCACACAAACCGTCACCACTCCAGCAAAGCTATACTCATTAAACCCAATAACTGACCTCCTCAACTCTTTATAAAACCTCAAAGCTTCATCACATATACCACTCTGCGCGTAGGCAATTACCATAGTATTCCACGATACAACGTCCCTCTCGGGCATTTTATCAAACAACCTCCTTGCAGGCTTTACCATAAGTTGTTTAGCATACCCAGAAAGCATGTTGTTCCAAGAATACAAATTTCTTAAGCTCATTTTATCAAACACTCGGCGTGCTTCAATGTGATCGCCGCATTTACCGTACATATTGATCAAATGATTGGCTAAAAATGCATTGGGGTGTTTTAGACCAGTAACCTTTATATGGAGGTGAACCCATCTGCCCAATTTCAAATTCTTGGACTCAGCACACTTCTGTATGAGAAAAGCTAATTTTTTACAGTCCAAACGAATGCCCTTTTGCGCTAAGAGGTCTAAAGACTTGACAGCTTCTTGAAGGTGACCTTGAGAGCAAAGATTCAGAAAGTTTTGGACTATGCAAGTATTATTCTTGTTACTGGGCTTAAATGACGGCTTGAGAATGCGAGTTGGGGAGAAGAGAAAGGGCATTGCAGGATGCAAACATATGGGATGGCGGCGGCACGCTGTTGTTCTTCATTTATGTTGTGATGAAGTCATTGAAATCAACCGCTGTAATATGAGCTCCGGCGAGTATCGCCGGTTCAGATTGGCCGTCGGGAGAGCAAAATGCAGAACCCACTAGTCAAAATTATTCATAAATGGAAATCATGCAAATTTTCTAATGATTTACCGTTTTCAGTGTGTAGTGTTATGGGTGAGCTGGTCCAAAAGCGCAACTAGACCTAAGATAATACAAATACTACCTATTATGTATTATTGCTCACTAAACAATGTACAAAAAAACTCAGCCAATAGGCATTGGTTAAGATGAGGTCTAGTTTTTGAGGAAAAAAATGAAAAAGTGAAGGTAAATGTGAAACATGGGAGAGTTTAGACTAAACATTTTTTAGATACTTATAGAGCTTTTAACGAATCGAACTGTTTGTAAACGTATTCATGTTCGGCTCGTTCGAAATCGAAAAAAGGTCAATCATTTAATAAACAAATCGGTACTCGAATATTTATACAAATAAACGAATTGAATTCAAAAACTCATTAATATTCGAGTTGAACTCAAACCCTGTTCGTATAATATACAAACAGAGTTTGAACACCAAATACTGTATTCGATTCAGCTCGTAAAAATTCTAGGACTCAGAACCTAATTAGTGTATGAAATTGTAAATGGTTTTATAAAGGTTGGAAGCTTTTTATAGGGTTCAGATAGAGTTCATCTAAATGGTTGAATGTCCGTTCCAATTGCAATCCCAAATTGAAGGTTTCGTTATTTGTTGTGCAAGAAGGAAAGCTTGATGTGAGTTGGTCACACTTATGTTAGTCACTTTCTCTTATTTATTTTCAAATTTAATTGTTTGGTTGTTGAGTAAAAGTATTTGTCATAAACAAATCAACTTTTATCTTAAGTTAATTAGTGAAAGTGAGAGATGATTGTGTCATATTGAATTTGATTATAAAAGGATTAAAGGTACATTTCATATTCTTAATAGCAATTGTACAATTTAAATCGTTTCCATTTGTTGAAAACAAATAAATTGTACAATTTAAACACTGTAAAATTCAAAAATGAAGGAAAAAATCAAATTGTGGTCTTTAGGTAGACTAACAAAGAACATAGTAACATTTATTTTTAGGTGGAAATAGGAAAGTTTGGTGCTAATGATAAGAATAGCAAGTCACGCGCTTCTTCTATTCACCAAAAAAAAAGGGAATAAGAATGCCAATTCTTTTTCTATATGATTATTCACGAATAGCTAGCCAAAGCAGAAACTCGCAGACTCATTTTTTGTAATTTCAACTTCAGATGTCTAGATTTCTATCTTCAAGGGTTTTAAACCAACTCAATTTATGTACATTACCTAATCCCCCCTTTTGGTTCATATGCGGGTATAGATAAATATTTTCAATTAACTCCTTTTTTCAACGCATTGATTTCTGAACTTTCTCTGCCTCATTTTATCACTACAAAACATGTTTAAAAAGAAGGGGGGGGGGGGGGGGGATTCCAGGCTCATAACAGGCACCTCTACAATCACCATCAAGTATATATTTCCACAAGAACAATCTTTACATTAGGCCATGGATTCTTCCGAGGCATCTAATCCCAGAGCAACTTTGTTATCAAATATCAAGGGCAAGAAATGAGGAAAAAATCTGGACAAATGTCCAAACATAATTCAATCTTCTCCGCTGGATCCTCACAATTAACTACAGACTTCCTGGTTCATGCTCAGAATCAACACACAGTCCGCCCATAGCACAGGGAAGCAAGATAGAGGTTCTTTGCCCATTTTTCCTGCTTATAGTAAACACATACAGAGACAACAAAGTTAACCTCCACAATAAATGAAGTATTTTGATAACAAGATCCTTGTCCGCCAAACCAAACTGCAGGATAGCCCTTCGGTATGCAATAAAGTTAAAGCAACAACGATTGAAAACGACAGGTTACAAGGTTCAAATAGCACATCCCAACAAATATTTACCTTAACATGGGTGCTTGGGAACTGAGATGTTCTTAGAGTTTCCTGAGTCTCATCAAGCAGTTTGCGCCGAGGCACACTCAAGATAAGAGCAGCTTGATCCCAGGTAGCAGCAGTGGCTGTAATTCGGTAACCACTATCCCACCGTTTATGAATGCCCTCACTGGGATAAAGAAAATCAAGCTCCACAACCTGGAAAAACAAAGATATCTCAGTCAAAACGTTTTATGCTTAACAGAAATAAAGACACATCCAGGACAGTAATAGGGAACACAAGGCACTCTTCTGACGGTAACAGCCCATGTTTTTTTAAAAGAGGTGGGGAATGCCAAGTTTCTGTTAATTCATAGCTCAATTCCTTTCCCTTCTCCCTGTCAATTAACATAACAACTGTGAACAGCACCAATAAGACTTTAAAGTTTAAACGGCATGCATACACCCCAAAAAAAAATAATAAAGAAGGGACATAAAACTCTTCTAGGCAAAAATTCTCAAGACATTCCACTGCATGAAGAAGATAAAAAAGGGCAATTTGCACCAGTTGCACAGCATCCACTGTTGTCTAAGTTGAATCAATCTAAGATGGCGATTTTTCCATTTTCCCACCCTAGCACAAATGTCTAAAAATGCAAATTAGTTCAATGGTTTTGAGGCAAAATGTCTAAAAGTTTGTGCAGCTGATAAGGGGTGAATTGGGTCAAATCTGCAAAATAACCAGAAAACGAAGAAACAAGTAACCTAACCTGATCACTGAAGCCAGAGTTTCGGGACATGACCACAGCCCACCGAGTACCAGCAGTAGCCATAGATGTCACGTGAAACCCTTCCTTCCACTTCTTGTTAATCCACTTGAATGGAAAGGAATCACTTACTTTGTAAGATTGTTGGTTATACATGGTGCCTGCAGAGTAACAGGAATTTAGTATTAAGAGGCAAGATATTCAACTAATAAAACTGATCGATCACACGTCCAAGGTTACAAAAAATTATTATGCATACAACTTTTTGCTCAAAAAGAGGAAAAGTAAAAATAGTAAACCAGGCTAAACCAGGCTTCATGCTAATTCCCAAGCCCAAGGAGATAAACTCCTGGTCCTTCCTCTTTTCTTTTTTTTTTTTTTGGGGTGGAGGGGACAAGGGTTGCAAAGGAACAATAAATCACAACTTGATGTGGCATGGACACTTGCAAAATGAAAATTGAGTCATCTGTCCAGTATTAGCACAAAAATTGAAATTATACAGCACAACCAGAATGAAGCAATTTTAGAGTATTAGCACATCCCAGTCTCACTTTGTTCCCTCAAGAGACAAATACTTAGCACAAGAAATCTGTCAATCTGAGCTCTACAATGGTTCACATAGACTAATCTCCACAGAGACAAGCCACTGTTACAGCTCACCCAAATGGACAAGATGCACAAATAATGGTAGCAATACTTAAGAATTGTTTCCCTATTCTTGATTCATCCGAAAGCATTTTAGCAAGTATAATTATGTTTAACTGATTGATAACAGACACCATATTTTGCAATCTTACCTTTTGACATTACCACTAACGAACTTCCATTGGTTGCACCAGCAAGACAGCTGATATAGTAGTTCTTGTCCCACTGGTCCATAATCCACTCCTGTAATAAAAAAATAATTGCACTTAGAGGTCACTTGGTCGGTGAAGTTCCAGATAAGGACAATATCTCTGTTTGTCAACAAAACAGGTTATGCAAATAACTTACCTTGTGCAAGAAAAAAGGTGATATCTCAAAAACTTGGCTTGTAAAATTAGTCCCAGCATCCATAATAATAGCCCACAAGTTGGAACATGATGCCACAGAACTTATATACAACCCATCTTCTACCCCTCTTTCTACATGTTGCGCTAATCTTGCATCCGATACATTATAATGGTACCTTTTGTGTAGAACCAAACAAAAAGAGGATAAAAAAGGGTATTCAATAGGCAATGACATTATGGCAATGGCAGAGGACTATCTACATATATAAATACACACGCACACATATACACATACACAATAGTCCTTTTGTCATTTTCCCCAACTTTTTATCCAAAATTTTTTTTCTTTTAGGTTATGTGGGTAAGCTTCACCATCCCAGAACCACTGACAAATATATTCTGGTCTATTTTCCCCCTTTAACAGAAGCAGCCGGAACCAAAAAAGAACAAAGAGGAAACAATGCTTCCAATCTATGTTCAAACCAAGTACTTACTGTTTCAGGATTCAGATTAGACAACAGAACACCCCGGTAACTTGAGAAATAAAACAATATCAGATAGCATGAACTGAACTACCACCATTCTAAGAGAAAGATCTTTTTTTTTAACCTCTGTTTCATAGGCTTCCTAGCATTGTAAATTGAAACCCATTGTGATGCTGGGACTCCCATACGAACTTTCTTCCTCGGCTGTTCCTCTTCATCCTCATCAAGATTCAATCTGGGTCGCTTTTGGCCGATTTGGATAATCTAGCAAAAAAGTTAATAAATAAAAGCTATAAAATGATTATGAACATCAAATAAAGGAAAGCAGAACATGTACTCGGGTAATAAAAGAATCACCTTTTGAGCACCATCTGTATTTAATGGTCGGGTTGCAGGATCGGCAGCAATCATACCCTCAAAAATAGATATTAACTTTGAATACTTTGGCTCTTCGTCAAATTTCAAGTTAACAACAGTTTCAAGAAATTCTCTGAGAGGGGCAGGGCAAAAGCAACATAGCGCTTCAGGAGCTGTTGCCATCTTTTTCTTAGCCACCTGGAATGATTTGTTATCACCCTGAGGTAAAAAGATTGAACACGAGTAAAACAGCTGAAGAGGACATCAGAAAAATAAAGTAGACATAGGACTTAGCTGAATACTCCAATCTAAAGGTCAGAAAGTAGGACAAGGAAGTACCTGAAAACCTTGCCATGGCAACCTGCCTCTGTGGAGAAAAATAAGCGTATATGCAAGCGATTCTAAATCATCCCTTCTACTAGCAGTCCTTCCTAAGTGAGCATGCACACTAGCATAGCGGACAGTCCCTCTGGGACATCACCAGAATAGGGGGAAAAGGGTATTTAGTGGAAGCAGAGTTATTCGAACATCAGACTTTACAGTATGAGCAACATTCACCTGAATATGTCAGGACGTTGATCATATTCAACATGTTGCCCCCTGGTGCTGTCTCTCCACTTAGTTGCTGCAATAAACGCATAGA